TCCAGTCAGCCAGCAAAACTTTTTAAAAATCTAATATAGTTTAATTATTATTTTATTATTGCGCTTATTTACCCGGAAAAGCCTCGCTGGGTATCATGACCCTTTTTCAGGATGGTCGTGCCAAGTTTTTGCAGGAGGGGGCACGATGTTGCTTTGCGGAATCCCAGTTAAGTAACTTGCAGTATAATCTTTCAAGCATTGGGATGTTTGGCCCAATGCCAGCTGCTTGGGACGTTTTATTATTTTGCCTGTTAAAAGTCTCAAGTGTCTCGCTGTTGCCTGGTGTCGCTCCTCCGATGAGCTCGCTTGCCTGCGTACGGTGGGGAAGAAGTTCAACATGCATACGTACGTACTCACGCCCTGTGTTAGAGAACTGCCCGACTGAAGCATCTATCACGGAACTACTTCTGAGATGCCGACAAGTTACCGATCTTTATTTATCTTACCCTCGGTTGGCACAATGTTTCAGGTGCCATGGCTGCAGAAAAATGTTTGCCACGTGACAGTCAAACTTATTTTTCGTCCATTGTCACCGAAGGAATTTAGCTAAATTCGGTGAAGAGTCTACTTTAATTAAGCACAGATACATATTTATTAAAATATCTCACCTGAAAGGCCATCGGAGGTGGAACATCTCGTTTGCAGGGATGTCCAGGCTTATCAATGCATTTCATAACTAGTTTATTTTGGGTTAGATCGTGCGTCCACCCCCCCCCCCCCCCCCCCCCGAGAGATCCAATCAAATCAAGTTGCACCATGGGCAAATCTACAAATCGATTTTGGGTTGAGAGCAAGACTAGAGGAGTTTCAAGTTTCATTTATTTGGTATAGCCCTGTGAGCCATGTGGCTCTTGAGTCGGGTGAAACCGAATCAAACAAAATATGAACAGAGAACATCGATGGCGCGCAACAGAAAGATCCTGGATAAACCACCGTATATTACAACACCAGTTTGCAAAAATCACAGTGTGATGTAAGTCAAACAAAAACAACCATAAGACAATTTAGATTAAAGTTATCAGGCCAACTCCGCACTCCCGCAAGAAACATTGCTTAACCATATGTTTTCGAAATCACCAAAATAAAGCTATAAAAACAATGTAACAACAGTAATCATAAGAACTGTGATTCAAATTTAAGAATAAACGATATACATAACATGTACGACCAAACTTGTAGCCATAGCTGGCAGCATGACACTCCCAGTGTATAATGTGTGAGTGAGTCAGTGGTAGTGTGAGTGAGTGTATGATGTGTGAGTGAGTCAATGTATGATGAGTGAGTGAGTCAGTGTATGATGTGTGAGTGAGTCAGTGTAAGATGAGTGAGTGTATCACGGCATCCTCCATGCAATCGCGGCCTCCTCCCCGCCATCGCGGCCTCCTCCCCGCCATCGCGGCCTCCTCCCCGCCATCGCGGCCTCCTCCCCGCCATCGCGGCCTCCTCCCCGCCATCGCGGCCTCCTCCCCGCCATCGCGGCCTCCTCCCCGCCATCGCGGCCTCCTCCCCGCCATCGCGGCCTCCTCCCCGCCATCGCGGCCTCCTCCCCGCCATCTCCTCCACGCCATCACGGCCAAGAGGCTGCGTCGTCGCAGGAGCTTCTCCTCGGCCGAGAGATGCGAGAGCCGCTGCCTCTTGCGGGGCCGCCGAGGCCGCACGCCCAGCGCCTCATCCTCTGAGCCCGAAGCGGCCCCGGCCTCGGAGCTCGAGCTCCGGCGTGCCCAGGGTGAGCTGAGCCCCGCCGCCGAGCCAGGCGAGACCGAGGCTCTCCGAGGCACCAGGCCGCAGTGCTGGGACTCCATCACGACCATTGTCACCCCCTAACCCCTCACACACTGATTCCCTCACACATTCCCCCACACACTCCCCCACACACTCACTCATTCCCTCACACACTCACCCCCTAACCTCTCACACACACTCATTCCCTTCCACACTCCCTCACACACTCATTTCCTCACACATTCGCCACGTTCGTCCAGCATAGACAAATCTCGGACGTCCGCGCGCCCCGGGGGGGTGGTGAGTGAGGATGGTGGTATTTGAGTCAGGCCTTTCGGTCTGTACGCGTTACCTGCTTGGCAGAGCACACAACAGATGCCACGTCTTGACAAGTAGTGCGTTGTTTCGTTACATCCGCCTTCGATAACCTCTTGTAGCCCGTTGCTGATCGTCACACTTTCAGAGGGAAGTATCGGCGTCGCGAACAATTGAAGGGCGGTGAAACACGACAGAAGATTAGTTTTTTACGTCCCTCCACCCGCGGCTTCTTCGCTGTCGGTCGCGCCAAACCGCTCTGGAACACTCCCCGTGCGATCGCTTAAGCGGCGCCGACTAAAGAGAGAGCCGTGCCACTTGAATGACAGCTCACCGTCTTCACCATGATCAGCACGCCGCCATCTTGTGTTGAGCAGGCATGTTAAACAGACCAAAAACAATTTTTTGATGATTTTGTATGACGACGCATCGCCCGAGATTACACCCAGCATCATCAAGGTGTCAACAAAATACTCTGCTCTCCTTGCGCGACAGAGCTTCCTGATCCGGGGTCCTTAAGAGTAGGTGCCATGACGTCATCACACCAGCCATACACGCGAACCGGTTGATGGGTTGTGATTGGCGGGGAATAGATTCGTGTCAAAAGGTGAATCTATTTGGCGGTTGGTGAAATGAGGATTTTCCTCGCTTATATGAAGGCATATAGTATTGGTAGTGAAGCTGGAGTATTATATATGCGAGGAGTCTAATATAAAACGATTACATTTGATGGCTTTAATAGGCGATCGTTGGTGACCAGGCTGAGATCCATCAACTCGCCGCAACTTGGGAACCTTGTTCAACCGCTGCGGCTGCGGCTGCGCCGCTAATACTTAGACTCTAACGCAGGCTCTCATCTGCGCCGGCTTTAGTGTCGCTGACCCCTGAGCCACCCATGGCCCACCCGTGGCTAATACGAGTCGCCCCTTTCTGGCAGAGCCTGTGATGCGTGAACTCATTACGCTCCCCACATTCTGTACCCCCCAATCCCACCACCCCCCCCCCCCCCCCATGCGAGCGAGCGGGCGTCTCTCCACTCCAGGGTAGCAGCGGAGAGGCTCTGGCTCACCCTCTCCGGAGGAGTTAACATGAGGCCCCGGTCGGGAAGGGGGGGGGGCGCGAGGGCTGAGCGGCAGTAGGGGGGCAGCCGTCTTATCAGTCATCGCCCTCCATGGCCCTCACAGCAGACCTGCTACAGGAGGCATCTCTGGAATGTTATGAGCTGTCAAGTGCTGGCTTAGCATCCCGACCTCAGCCGTCAACACCTGTCAGCCACCGCCACCACCGCCTCCGCCACAACTGCCGCTGGCCACGGCGAGCTGTCCCCACGTTTGTTCCTCTGCAGTGGCCGCGGTGCAGTGGTAACGCTTGTGCCTCACAGCAAGAAGGGCCTGGGTTCGATTCTTGACTCGGGCGCCTACTTTCGTGTGTGGAGGAAACCCCATGTTCTGCATAGGGTTCCTCCATGTTCTCCAGTTCCTTCCCACGGCTAAAAAAAATCAACACACGTGCAGCGTAACTGGTATTGGCCCAAAACATCACAATGATGAAAACATTCGTTGCAAATTACTCATTTGGGATTACACACAGAGCAAGATCTGCGTGTAGGGCAGGACCCTCCTGGGTAAACAAGCGGAATAATAATAATTGGCTCATCGTCCCGGCCCTACGCGATGATGCAGAGGCTGTTGATGTTTAGTTAAGCTAAAGTTAAGCTCAATGAGCTTCTTAGATCAATGGGGCCTCGCGCGAAATAAACGCGACCGACCAACTGAAGTGGCAGGTCAGGCTTAGGCCAACTTTTAATCGGCGGCGCGAAACCCCGCGGCTCAGCCATGGAATAATCGCTCGGGCGGCAGAGTCCCGGACTCGGGAGTCCCGCGAGAGGCCGGCGCTGCCTCGCGATTGCTCGCCGCTCCCGACGAGCGATTGGCGCGCCGATAGCCGCGGGTCTCGCGTTTCCCGGGCCGCCACGCGGGTTAATCCCCGAGGTTTATCTCTCTCTTTCTCTCTCTCTCTCGTGTGTGTGCAAGGTCATCAGCGCGTCCTCCGCAGGTAGAGTCCGCAGGGGAGGGTGGTGGGGGGGGGTGGTTGGGGGTTCCGTGGGTTCTGTGGTGTCCGCAGTTATCATCATTGTGGTCGGCAGCAGTGGTCATCATCGTTATCAGCAGCAGCCGCAGCAAAAGCATCCCCGTCATCAGCAACAGCATCATCATTGTCATTAGAAGCAACATCATCAGCAGCAGCGGTCACGTGATTGTCTTCAGCAGCAGTGTCGTCATCATCATCATCATTCTTATCATCGTCAAGTGTTACGTGACCAGAAAATAGTAGGCACAGTCAAAGGAAGAGATTTATAGTGGATGCGGTGCGCAGGATTATTCCAAGCATGTTGTGAATCCACTCAGGTTAAGATCTCGGTCTATGCCAGGCTCCAGTGTTTCATATCATCCATACTCAATCATCCACCCGCTCACACACTCGCCCAGTCACCACGCTGCTTCTTCCCTTGCACCGCTCCCCTTTGGAATTCCCTCTTTACCCCCAAGCTTTTTTTTCAATTAAAGAAATGCGTCAACTCTTATTTACATTACAACTTTGATAATAGTGCTGCTTGTTGCTGGCCGCTTGACACTTCCAGGCCTCTGGAGGCCCGTGCTCACCAACTTCAACTGTTGTCGTGGAAGCCGCAGAGAGAGAGGGGGTATACTTGATGTGGTGTGACGGGCGCGGAAACATTGAGCACCGGTCGTGAGACAAGCGCAGCCAAACCCAGTTGGACGTACCCCCCACACCCCCCCCCTTACTCCCCACCTCCCCCCCACCCCCCCACCACAGCCCGCCGGCCCCCCGAGATCGACGCTTGTCTTGCTTGGGCTGCTGTATGCTCCCCACCCCCACTAAGTACTGCCCCCCACTGTGCACTGCCCCCCCCCACCCCCACCGTGCGCTGTCTGCCGCAGGGCGCACGGTTCCTGGTGCTGAAGAAGAAGTTCCGTCACCTGCTGGGTGGCGATGCGGCCGCGGGAACCCAGGGGTCGGGAGGAGGAGGGGAGGAGGAGGACGAGCGCGGAGAATCCTCCCTCCCAGTGGAGGCACAGCCCCACGTCCACGATGGAGAGGAGGAGGAGGAGCAGCAGCAGCAGCAGCAGGAGGAGGTGAAGAAGATGGACGAGGAGGCGGAGCCGTCGGGCGATGGTGCTGAGCTGCCGGAGGTGGAGGTGAAGGGACGTGGCAAGGAGGTGGAGGAGGCGATGGAGGTGGAGGAGAAACAGGAGGTGGAGGAGGTGGACAAGGAGGAGGCCATCGTGGAGGCTGAGGAGATGGTACGCGCGCCTCTCTGCCGCGTGACGTTTGTTTGCACGACGATTTTTTTTTATTTTGAATGGCAAATGTCGAACGCCGGCCCTAAAGGCCTACAATGCACCGCGGCCAGAAGTTATCTGGCGTTGATCGGAGTGCAGCAGATAGGGACCAACACGTGTCTCGAATTGAGCGAGGTCATAGGAAAGCGGGAGCGGAGATGATGAGAGGGTGAATTCCAAAGCAGAGCGGTGCGGGGGAAGAAGCAGAGAGAGAAGTGAGGCGACATGCAGTGGGTGGACGAGTGGGTAAGCGAGCAATATTCTGACCTGCGGTTTGGTGAGTGAGCGAGTGAGTGGGTGACGATCGCACCAATCTCGCATTGCGGCGTCTTACGCAGCGGCGCTCCGATCAAGACCAAACTGCGGCGTTGGCAGCCGACAGCCGCTCGTGGAATTTATGCTTTAAGCCAAGCCCGCCGCGAGTGTGCCGCCCGTAAATACAACGGCGGTGGAGGCGGCCGGCGGCGGAGGCTGACGTGTCGCGGTCGGGGACGACATCGGCTTAGCCCTCCCTTTTATTTACGCCGATCGCCAAAAGCGCCGTGGGGGAAAATGCTAAACGCTTCGGGCAAGCGTGACCGCCACGGAGCTGCCTACGCTCAGCCCCCCCCCCCCCCGCAGACGGGACGGCCCCGGTCGCGTCGCCACAGGGCACTGGAAGACACGATTGGTTAACTGCAGCGTTAAGGGGTGGACAACTTAACAAGGTGGCACGGCAGCTGGCCTGCTAATGGGTATTAGTCTGCCAGGAGAGGAGGCGGCGGTGGCTGCCACCGTGTGTGATCCCAATTGGGTTAAAGGAGCGGCCTGTTCACGATGGAGCCTACTCGGCTACCCCCCCTCCCCGGGCAATTGACCGTGACGGGGCGTTCCCAACCTGAAGAGCAACGCTCGGCTAATCCACCTCCTCGTTCGCACCTTCCGGATTAACCACGGCTTTGCGATATGTACGCACGTTGAACTTCTTTCGCACCGTACGTAGCCAACCGTGCTAATCGGAGGTGCGGGAGAAGGACAACAATCTAAACATAAAGTAGCAGCTCTAAAGGAATTCGTTTTCGATGTAGATGATTTAAAAGCACCAATGGCTTCCTAATATCGGAAGGAAGAGCGTTCCAGACGGCCGCAGAAACGCATTTTAAAGCGCGCGATGCAGTGACCGTCTTTGTTCGATGGCTAGCCAAATGCGGCTGCGAGGATGACCGAAGTTCGCGTGATGATTTATGCTCCTTAACGAGATCAGCAAGGTATTGTGGTTCTTTAGTGGCAAGCACTTTGAGTGTAATGTGTGCGACGGAGCACTGGTTGCGGTGTAAACGTCAGCGCTGGGGAGACACCTCCCCGTCGTGAATGGTTTGCCGGGCTTAATAGGTGCTACTCACCAAAAGCACTTGCCCCAACAGTCAGTTAATACCACACGGGTTATCTTTGCCTTTGTGACCGTATCCGGCCCTACATGCCCGCCGATGCTTGCTTGGTTTTGAGGGTGTGCCAGGTCACCTCCTCTAGAGAGACGAAGGAGCGACGCTCCACGCGCAAACACGGCTCCCACGCAAGCACGGCACCATGTTTGCTCAGCTGTAAGCGGCGGAGACGTCGAAGTCGACGTCACGTTCGCGTGTGTGTGTCTGTTAGCACCCAGATGTGTGTGTGTGTGTGGTGCACAGGGAGGTGTATGTGTGTGGAACATCTCCGCCGGTTAGAAACATTTAGGCTGGCCTGCCTACGACTCCATCCTGGGTTTAACCGGGCTGGATTGTCTGAGGAGCTCACAAATCCTTGAAAGATCTGGACAAAGTCCCATCGGTGAGCTCCTCCGGCAGGCAAGGCTGCGTTGGCTGGGTCATGTAGCACGCATGCCCAGCCACCGCATGCCTAAACAGCTTTTGTTCGGCCGGATAGAGGGGGCTAAACGGGCGCTGCACGGGCTAGAGAAGAGATGGAGTGATGTGGTACATGAGGACGTGGAGCTGAGTGGACTTGCCGATGACTGGTACCAGCGGTGTCAAGATCGGCCTCTGTGGAGGAGGGCAAAGGAGCCACACTCACAACAACGAGCGGAGCGCTGGGGTGCTAAAAGACAGCGAGTTGGCACAGTAGGAGGCACAGGTGGCGCATCGGCCGGTCATCTCAGTCATTCGACCGTAGCACCTGGGTCTGCCCCGTGACCTCCTGCCGGCGGGTGTTCGAGACTTCACGCCATTCGCCACTTAGTGGCGAATGGCGGTTGTTGTAGGGCGGTATTGTAGCGGTTAGCATGCCATGCTATGAATCCGGCGACCCAAGTTCGATTCCCACTCATGGCAAACACCAGTGACGATTATTTCAACCGGTCCTGGGCCTCCCCTTGGTCGACTCAGCCTCAAATGAGTACCCGGTGCGGTGTGTAAACATCACCACTGGGGAGACAAAGGCGGCCGGGCGTGGTGTTGGCCACCCACCCCCTCGTGTGCCGTGCCGGCCTTCATAGGTGCTCGCTAACAGCGCTTGCACCAACAGTCTGTTACAGGCTACACGGGGGGATCTTTGTATTTGTTCTGTAGAGCAGTAGTGTAGCGGTTAGTGTGCCGCGCTACGAACCCGGCGACCCACGTTCGATTGCAGCTCACGGCCAACACCAGTGACGATTATCTGAACTGGTCCTGGGCTTCCCCGAAGTCAACTCATCATCCTGGTGTGGTGTGTAAACATTGCCACTAGGAAGACAAAGGTGGTCGGACGTGTTGCTGACAACCCACCCCCTTGTGTGCCATTATATTTGTTACTCACTAAGAGCACTTGGTCCAAAAGTTTGATAAGGCTATATGGTGGATCTTTATCTTTGATGCATGGGGGAGGTTGTGTGAGGTATACGGGGATGTGTGTGTGTCGGGAGCGGTGGCACAGTGGTTAGCGCACAGCGCTGCGAACCCATTGACCAAAATTTAATTCCCGCTCACGACGAATAATAGTGGCAGATATCTGAACCGATCTTGAGCCTCCCCTAGGTCGACTCAGCCTTACATGAGTACCTCGTGTGGTGTGTGAATATCAGCACTGGGAAGAGAAAGGTGGACTGGCGTGGTGTTGGCCACCCACCCCCTCATGTACCTTGCTGGCCTTCATAAGTTCTAACAGCGTTTGCCCTAATTGTCTTAAATAGTCTACACGGGGGGGGGATCTTTGTCTTTTGTGTGTGTGTGTACAGTGAGGGAAAAAAGTATTTGATCCCCTGCTGATTTTGTACGTTTGCCCACTGACAAAGAAATGATCAGTCTATAATTTTAATGGTAGGTTTATTTGAACAGTGAGAGACAGAATAACAACAACAAAATCCAGGGAAATAAGTATTTGACCCCCTCTCAATCAGAAAGATTTCTGGCTCCCAGGTGTCTTTTATACAGGTAACGAGCTGAGATTATGAGCACACTCTTAAAGGGAGTGCTCCTAATCTCAGCTTGTTACCTGTATAAAAGACACATGTCCACAGAAGCAATCAATCAATCAGATTCCAAACTCTTCACCATGGCCAAGACCAAAGAGCTCTCCAAAGATGTCAGGGACAAGATTGTAGACCTACACAAGGCTGGAATTGGCTACAAGACCATTGCCAAGCAGCTTGGTGAGAAGGTGACAACAGTTGATGCGATTATTCACAAATGGAAGAAAGACAAAAGAACTGTCAATCTCCCTCGGCCTGGGGCTCCATGCAAGATCTCACCTCGTGGAGCTGCAATGATCATGAGAACGGTGAGGAATCAGCCCAGAACTACACGGGAGGATCTTGTCAATGATCTCAAGGCAGCTGGGACAATAGTCACCAAGAAAACAATTGGTAACACACTACGCCGTGAAGAACTGAAATCCTGCAGCGCCCGCAAGGTCCCCCTGCTCAAGAAAGCACATATACATGCCCGTCTGAAGTTTGTTAATGAACATCTGAATGATTCGGAGGACAACTGGGTGAAAGTATTGTGGTCAGATGAGACCAAAATGGAGCTCTTTGGTATGAACTCAACTCGCCGTGTTTGGAGGAGGAGGAATGCTGCCTATGACCCCAAGAACACCATCCCCACCGTCAAACATGGAGGTGGAAACATTATGCTTTGGGGGTGTTTTTCTGCTAAGGGGACAGGACAACTTCACCGCATCAAAGGGACGATGGGCGGGGCCATGTACCGTCAAATCTTGGGTGAGAACCTCCTTCCCTCAGCCAGGGCATTGAAAATAGGTCGTGGATGAGTATTCCAGCATGACAATGACCCAAAACACACGGCCAAGGCAACAAAGGAGTGGCTCAAGAAGAAGCACATTAAGGTCCTGGAGTGGCCTAGCCAGTCTCCAGACCTTAATCCCATAGAAAATCTGTGGAGGGAGCTGAAGGTTCGAGTTGCCAAACGTCAGCCTCGAAACCTTAATGACTTGGAGAAGATCTGCAAAGAGGAGTGGGACAAAATCCCTCCTGAGATGTGTGCAAACCTGGTAGCCAACTACAAGAAACGTCTGACCTCTGTGATTGCCAACAAGGGTTTTGCCACCAAGTACTAAGTCATGTTTTGTAGAGGGGTCAAATACTTATTTCCCTCATTTAAATGCAAATAAATTTATAACATTTTTGACATGCGTTTTTCTGGATGTTTTTGTTGTTATTCTGTCTCTCACTGTTCAAATAAACCTACCATTAAAATTATAGACTGATCATTTCTTTGTCATAGGGCAAACGTACAAAATCAGCAGGGGATCAAATACTTTTTTCCCTCACTGTATGTGCTCTCCCATTTAATCACGGTGCTCTGCAAACAGCATTCTGGCCGCATTAATCACAGCGTCAGAAGCGGCAGGCCATGCTCGTGTCTGCACGCAGGACAGGCGGCCGGAGCGGTCGGAACGTTCAATAATACCGAACCAGTTCCTGCCTGCCCCTGCCTGAGGTGTCAGCAGCCGCGCTGCACAGCGCTCCGATCTGCTATCAGGAAGCTGCG